ATTCAAGGTTAAAACTGTCTCTAGTAAAAAGAAGTCTCCGTGGAGAAGTGATCCACTGGTATGTAATGAAAAAAGAGAGTGCCGGCGTGCTGAGAAAAAATGGCGGAAAACTCAACTCCAGGTTCACTGCGAGATAAAGAGAGGCTGAATAAGTATCAACTATCCCTGAAGGATGCAAGGGAGTCATTTTTCTCTGAGACTATTCATAGAAAAAACAATAATGCTAGGACATTATTTGCTACAGTGGAGAGATTAACTACTCCTCCAGTGGCAATAACCCCTGAACTAAGCTCCACCAGGGCCTGCAATGAATTTGCCAGCTTCTTTATTGAAAAGATCTTGAAAATCAGAAGATTGATTGGCACATTAGTTTCAACCCCAATACCGACGTTAAGCCCAATTAGCACTTATGCAGAGAAAATGACTCACTTTCAAACAATAAATCAATCAAGCTGCTTGGATATATTATTATATAGTATTATTTCTTAAAAAGGTCCTCCCAGCCATCAGGGAGGATCTGATCCAAATAGTTAACGCATCCCTTCTATCAGGTGTCTTTCCCAAAGCCTTAAAAAAAGGAGTTATCAAACCAATATTAAAGAAAAAGAACCTAGACAGCACATTAATGCAAAACTACAGACCAATCTCTAATCTTCAATGTATCGGTAAAATTATTGAAAAAGCTGTTTTCCAGCAGTTAAACAGCTTTCCCACAATGAACAACCGCTTTGATATTTATCAGTCTGGTTTTCGTAGGCACCACAGCACCGAGACAGAGTGTTTAATGACATCCGTATAAATACTGACCGTGGGAAATCCACAGTATTGGTACTACTGGACCTTAGCGTGGCGTTTGACACCGTTGATCATGATATATTACTGGAGCGTCTAGAGAGCTGGGCCGGACTTTCTGGTACAGCACTTGACTGGTTCAAGTCCTACCTTAAGAACAGGAACTTCTATGTGTCAATTAGCCAATTTTCATCACAAAATATAGAAATCACATGCGGGGTCCCCCAGGGTTCCATCCTAGGACCCCTCTTATTTAGCATTTACATGCTCCCGTTAAGCCAGATTATAACCACCAATAATATTAACTACCACAATTATGCAGACAATACTCAACTTTATATCTCAATGTCACTAGGTGATATTGAACCTATCCAAACTCTTAATAAATGCATTGAGCAAATTAATAATTGGATGTCTCATAATTTCCTTCAACTGAACAATAACAAAACTGAAGTACTTATCTTTGGACCCAAAAAAGATTGATTAAATATCAGTAATCAGCTCAAACTGTCATGGTCCTGGGCCGTGTTGGCCCAGTATTCTTAGTTCTCTTGTATTTTTGTATTTAGTTCCCTGTTTAGGTTCTGTTTCCTGAGTTGCCCTGTTATGTTGTTCCCTGTGTGCTTTCCCTTTGTGACTCTCACCCCCTGTGTGCCCCTCTATGTATTCATG